GCCAAAATTAACATATAACCATGTTATTGACTCTTTTTTTAAGGAGGGTATGAAGTTCTTTGTTGATTACTCATGGAAAGAGATGCTAGACAAGCTTCTTCCCTTCTATAGTTTTATCCGGCACCATAATTCAATATAGATATATTTATTGCATAGAACGTGCCCACAATCATCAATAACGACATGAACTTTAAGTGGTGTACTCCAGGTCACCACCCAGTGACTGTCACATCCACCGCACCAAGGGTTTGGAGGACTGTGGCTTCTGCACCCAGGCAGGTTGTAAATAACTTCCAAATGGAACCTGGCATTCCTCAGAGGAATTCTAATTCTGCCTTCAGAGTAGACTAACTCTACACAGCACCTGTCTGAAAGAACATACTTATCGGAGTGATGATCAGACCGTTACATCTTTCTCAACATTAAGCCAAAAGTAATCCGACCATTGCTAGGTTGTTTCCTGTGATTTTATTTGCAATCAGTATGCACTGTAGCTCATGTTATCTGCCGTGGGGCTTCTTACTGAGATATCTCAAGATAGTTGTTCATAGACAGGTCTTAAGAGTACCTGAAAGGATGTGACTTTGAATACCAGAAAAATAGAAGAATTAGGTGGTAGAAATTAAGGCCTAATTGATTGCATTACAATATAAGAATTTTAAATTTATCCTCCAAAATTTGTTAAAAAGCTATTGGTTCTGTGACCCCCTGCAGACAGAAAATGTTACAGCAATAAATCTTGGGTTGAGATATTTGTGTTGTATTTTTCCTCCTATTGTTTACATTGTTTGTCTGGATAGGAGAAGGGGATATGTGGAGTAAGGTGAATAGAGCTTTCTCCATCATTATCATCAAATAATTCACTCTCGGTGAATTACATATTACCTACTTTTGGTGGCTTTGTTCAAAGTGGGTTAAACAGATGCATCCTCCACATGGACATATAATGATGTCCAGAGCTCACATAGCAAAAGGACATTGGTTAAGCTGATGTTTAAATTGCACACACTATTTTGCAAGACAAGAGAATAACAAGCAGAATGCACAATAAAAGAGGCTCATTTTCAACACCAGAATCTCGGTTATAATAAACAATTCTTCCAGTCCCTGGATCTTAACAAAGGAGTAGCTGTTGCTTTAACCTGGACATCTATGAAGAAAACAGAATTGTTTCAAAGAACAATTTAATGACTACCCTAGAATTAGAAATTCATACATTTTACAATGTAAATAATTTAAATAGAAAAACATTAAATAATATATGGATGCAGATATGTTCACAGTTATGATTTATGTTCTCTTATAACTGAAGGCACTTGGAGCTTCCTCTTCTGTGCTGTTTTGATCATTCTCTATGTGTCCAGCATTGTTTTTGGCTCCTACCTAGAACACTTCTTATATCAGATCTCTTATTATTTATAGTTTCTGCTATTGTGTTTTAAAAGCCATGCTAAATAGCACATCTTTATTAATTAACTATAGGTCCGGTGCATGAATTGCATACCAGTGGCGTCCCTCAGTTGGCTTGCAGGATTGGGCTGAAACCGGCTCTCTGACATTCCCTAAGGGGTTCTGTATTGAGAGAGGGGGAAGGTTAGGCCAAGGGACCCCACCAGTGCATGATCCGGGCCTGGGAGGGATGCAGGAGGTTGGCCAGCCAGGGAAGGAATATGGGAGGGTTCCAGGGCATGTCCTGCCTGTTTTGCTCAGACCTGATTGGCTGGACCCCAACAGCAAGCTAACCTACCAGTCAGAGAGTCTGCCCCTGGTGGTCAGTGCATGTTATAGCAGGTGGTTGAGCAGCTTTAGTATATTATTAGCATACTACTCTTTGTTTGGTTGAAAGGATGACCAGACAACTGGATACTAGCATATTAGCTAAAAATAGTTCATTTCCTAATAAACATTATAAAATTGCTGCTGACTTCACTTCTTCACTCATAAGTTTCTTTTTAAAAATATATATTTTTATTGATTTCAGTGATGAAGGAAGAGGGAGGGAGAGAGAGATAGAAACATCAAGATGAGAGAGAGAATCATAGATTGGCTGCCTCCTGCAAGCCCTACACGCTAGGCCTGTGCCTTGACATGGAATAGAAACGTGACTTCCCAGTTCACATTGACTCTCAACCATTGAGCACAAGTGTACACAATTGAACGGACTCTGTATCCCACACATCCAAAATCCATGCCCTTACCACTTAGATATTTGTTCCTGGTCTACCCATTCTTCCCAAGTGCATGGGCATTGGTGGCAGAGTCTGCTGTGTGGAGGACCAAGCTGGGAAAAATGATATCACAGGCCCTGAATGATGACTCAGGGATATCTGGAATTGGAGTTCTGGAATCACAGTGGTTTGGAGCATGGTCAAGCAAACATGAGTGCTGACTCCAGATGGGCACTTCTCTTCACTCCACAGACCTGGCTTAGTGGTGAAGGTGTGGCCAGAGAACAGCTGGAGTGCTCAACACATACTTATTGGTTTCTCACCATGTACCATCACTGTTCTAATCACTTGGGACACACGATTGGATGAATCAGTGTTCTGTCTTTGTAGATCTTGTATTCTTGGAAGAGGAGCGGTAGACTGTTATTGCTAAATTTAATAAATGTATAAACTCTACAGTGCATCAGAAAGTGAAAAGTAGTGTAGAAACAATGAAAGTTGAAGCAGGGGATGTGGGAGGGTTGGCCTCTACTGAGAAGTTGAGATTTGTGTAGAAACTTGAAGGCACTGAGGAAATTAGCCAAGAAGATAACAAGAGGGAGAGAAACGGAAGCCTTTGAGAGTGATGTGAGCACCTAGGGATAGGACCACGGTTGTCATGTGGGAACAACAAAGAGAATGAAAAAGGAGAGAGAGAGAGAGAGAGAGAGAGAGAGAGAGAGAGAGAGAGAGAGAGAGAGAAAGTCAGAATAAAAACACTGATGGCCAGATTCCATCGCACAGAATTATAATGATACCTATAAAATGTAATTTAAATTTTTGTGTAGACACAATAAAAAGTTAAATAGAGCCAGGTCAACTTAACTTTAATAATCCAGTTTATAGAATGCAATATATCTAAAATGTAATTTTAATCCTTAATCTCTGAAGTCCAGAGTGTATTTTGCATTTACAACACATCATTCAATCTTTACTAGCTACATTTCAAGTGCTTAATAGCCCAATATGGCTAGTGCTTACTGCACCAGCCTGACCAGATAGAGGTTTTGACTCATCATTGGAAACATTTTGCATTACTCTGAGTGACTTGGGAGAAGATTCAGCATTTCAAGAATGTAAGTGTCATGATATGATTTTTGTTTGATCAGGGGTAGCCTTAACTAAGAAAACACCATAAGCGATCAAGAGTAGAAACAGAGATTTATTACAGTAATCTTGATGAGAAGTGATGGTGGCTCAGATGACAGCAGTGGCTGACATAGTACAAAGTGTTTGGATCCCTGATCATTTTCAATATGGGACACATAGGAAGGGGTATAAGAGGAGAATCAAGAATGATCTCAGGACTTTGGCCTGAACAATAGGAAGGATAGCTGGACTTCAGCTGAGATGGGGAAGGCCATTGGAGGGCTGGGGAAAGGAAGATGCGGGTCAGTTTTAGAGTTGTATGTCTGAGAAGTGTATCAGATATTCAAGTGAAGATGTAGAGAAGGGAGCTGGACATGAGTGTGGACTTTAGGGGATAGTTTGAAGGTAATAGTTTGGAGATTGGCAAACTTGGACCAGGATAAGATCACCAAGGGAGTAAAAGTGGAAGGAGGAGAGAATACCAAAGACTGAGCACTGGGACATCTGAAATTAAGAGGTCTAAAATAACATGAGATTGACATTAAAAAAATATAAAACATTTTAGTACTTTTGCAGTGCATTTAATTTTTCATAAAAATGCCACACATGCTCATAACTGTCATTATGATCTTGTTCTTTTTACTGAAAATCTATAACTTTATTTTTTAAATTGAATTTATCTGGTGATACCGGTTCACTAAACCCTATAGGGTTTTAAGTGTACAACTCAATAAGACATCCTCTGCCCACTGCAGCCATTGCTCCAAGCAAAATCTCTTAAAATGAAACCTAAAGCTTTTTTTGTGACTTTTTTTTTTTTTGCTTTCAAATGTCTCATGCACCTTCAATTAATTAATTTATATTATATATAAATACATTAAAGAGTAGACAGTAAAAATAAAGATTGTATTCATAATCAAGTGATTGACCATAATGTCTTTAATGCATATTTTTATATAAGTGTTCCCCAGAGACAGAGGGGGCCGCTGTTCTTCCATAGTTTAGCATTCAACAAGAAAATTAGCAGTATGAAACCTGTCCCAATTAACAAACTGATACAGCTTTGTTTTATTTGTGATAAGCTTACCAGTTGCATTTTTATATGACATTTGATTGATGGTCATGTATTCTTACTCATTTCAGTTTGTCAATAAACGGGATTTTGCCCTAACTGGTTTGGCTCAGTGTATAGAATGTTGGCTTGTGGACTGGGGGTCCCAAGTTTGATTCTGGTAAAGGACACATGCCTGGGTGTGAGATAGATCCCTAGTGGGGGGCTTGCAAGAGACAGCCAATCAATGATTCTCTCTCATCATTGATGTTTATATTTCTCCCCCTCTCCTTTCCTCTCTAAAATTAAAAATATATATATATATATATACATTAAAAATATAAATGAGATCTCCATGCCTTGAATTATACTCAACTCTCAAGTATAAAGAATGCATCCTAAAACAAAATCCATTATTTTACTGTAGGCACATATGTGACTTTAAAAAAATACAACTCATATTTCAAATGAGATTTTTAACTCTTTGTGATATTATATCATCAAGGCAATTGTTTACAACATGGTGTGGAAATGGGTATATTATTAACAATGAAAAATAGACTTGTGACTTATTTTTAAGTAAATGACTACATAAATATGCCGATACACAATCTTCAGTGTTTTAACACAGGCATTTATTTGTCTCTTTCCAGTCTATTCGAGAAGTCACGGGCTATGTGTTGGTGGCTCTTAACCAGTTCCGTTACCTGCCTCTGGAGAATTTACGCATCATCCGTGGGACAAAACTGTATGAGGATCGATACGCCTTGGCAATATTTTTAAACTACAGAAAAGATGGCAACTTTGGGCTGCAAGAACTTGGACTGAAGAACTTGACAGGTAAGGAACATATATAAAATAGTAAAAATATTCTCATCAATATAACGTTGTAGGCACACACCTGTGTGTGTGTGTGTGCAGTTACTGCAGTGTGTGTTACATTGAGGAGCACTATAAAGCATTTAATATCTACTTCTTATTCCTTTTGTGAGAACGTGTTCCCTATGACGCCCTTGTTTTAGGCTCAGATATTGTGAGTGCAGTCTGAGGGAGACCTTAATACTGTTATCGCAGCTGAACACGTGCACACTGTTGAGGAAATGCTCAGTGACGGAAAACCTAGATAGGAAGCAGGTGTCAGAGTGCTGTGTCTGGGGTCTCAGGTGGATGGCCGACCATATCATCAGAGCAGCAGGAAAGCAGCTCTCTCATTAAAGCTCAGTAAATACACCAGCCGCTGTATCTAGAATTTAGTTCAATTCCGTAGTTTTGGAAAACTTATCTAATGTATTAATTCAGTTTTGATTTCTCCTATGTAGTAACTCACTAAATGCCCCTGTGATTCTTTCTCAGAGCGCTTTAATTTCTTATTGTCAGTGATTTCCCCCCCTAACCAGGAAGACAGTCTGCTAACAACCTAATGCTATCATCTTGCTACAAGAAAACACACATGGTAGGAATTTATTTTTAAACTGATCTTTGCAACCCACGATATCTTCTTAGTTCAGACACTTCAGAGTTCACACAGTTCAAGCCCAGAAAGGCTGCGGTGGAAGGCTTTTTTGAGGCAGGATTTCTAATCATACATTTTGCCATGGGTGCCTGCAATCAAAATGTGCTAATTAGTAATTAATTATCATCCCACAGTGGGAGAAAGAAGTCTAAGCTATTAATTTAATCTAAATTAATATCTGTATATTTTGCATCAAAATATATAGTGCCTTTCTATGTATTTGAGTTCATTCACTGTCAGTTTCTTGATATTGAAAAAGTAATACTTTAGAATATTACTTTAAAATGTTAAGAAATATATAACATTATTGCTAACAGGATATTTAAATTATTTATTTTATTTATAGTGTGTGTAAAATATATCATTTTAAGTTAGAAGTAACTTCATCATTAGCCAGACATGGGAGCTAAAATTGGAATATTTTGGATGCAGAAAGGAATACTGATTATGTTATTGACTTTGGACATGATTTCCATAGAACTGAATGCATGATGATAAATGCAAAATTTTTGGAATTTATATATTACTTCATCAACATTTTTATTTTGTCTCAAAGATAGCTATCTTACAAAAAAGCAAGTTTTTGTTTTTTGGTTTTTTTTTTACTAAATTACTACTTGCATGGGAATACTGTAATGATAGGAAGAAGAACTTGGAAATGGAATGGTTAGAGAAAATTGCCTAAAATTAGGACTCTAAAAATAATATGATTCAGTTAAAAATTGCATAGGAAGCATTGAGTTTTCTTCACAATTTTTCTATGCTTAAAACAAAGAAGAAATGAATAATGGTTTTGAAATTTTTATAATTCTTGAATTATATTATTATTTTATAACATGTGATATTTATAAACTTTTTCACACATAGGTATAAATTTAATACATAAATATGTACACTTTTCTCACCATACTTTAAATTAAACATTTGAATTTGTATTTTATGAATTATAAGGATATCTATTTGAGTATGTGAAATTTGGGATCTATAAATATATAATTTAAGTTTTTCAAAAGCTGGCCAAATACTCTCTTTTTTAAAACCAACATATTTATGTACTAGTGTCTTTATTTAATATTTTATAAGTATTCTAATTGGTTAACTGCATGTTAGGTCATCCTGATTAGATTATTTTTGAGATGTGGGCAAAAACACATTTTAAACAAAAAGTGAAATGTTAAAATATTTTGGGGAGGCCTCAATAAAAAAGTAAAAAGTACATTAAGTTTACTGAATTCTGGTCAACTAAAAATAAAATAAAATGCTTCATCCAGGAGATGCATCTAAATGATGTTGCATTTGAAGAATGTAACTTCCGACCATTACATTTGAATGTCTGTCTTCAAACATGCATAAACTATCAATTAAAATAGTACAACTAACACAGTACCTTTTAAAGTTTAAGTTTCATAACCCCCTTCACATTATTCAGTAATGTTCAAATAAATAACCTGATATGGAAATGGACAGGCCATTTGTAATTGACTCAATGTATTTTTAATAAGTATGGATGTGGAATGAGAAAACTATTCAAAAGTGAGGTCCCTTTTTTTCTTTAAAATGGAAAATTCCACCTCACTGTGTTGTTTTAGGCATTAATGAAATAAGCCGGGGAACTTAGAATTGATTCCAAGAATACAGTATGGCCCTTTCACATAGAGGCTGCTTAGGGAATCTTAGTTTTCCTTCTCTGTATTGTTTTGTTTTTAGCTTTTTAGCTTTCCTTTGTTTAAGCACACCGATGAAACAACCTTACAGGTTCTGCATACTCAAATCCTTCCTGTTGCTTCATTGAGGTTTTGAAACGTGACTTGTTGAGACAAAAAGTGGCATGGAAGTTCATAGCCTCTTCTGATACTACTTTGAAATTGCTTTAAGTATAAGATCATTTCTCTGGAAGTGAAAAGCCTGAGGCTATTTATTTAGTCTGTTCTCGGTACTACTGCTGTCTAGGTGCTCCCCAGTACTGTGCTCCTGTTGTTCAGTGGCTCGGGCCAAGCACCTGTTGCCCCAGCCCTTCATTTCAAATCTCCATCATCATGGTTCATCTTTCATTGACCCTGACATTTGTCTTGACCTAAACAACAGACATACTCACTCTGAGTTCTTTTTCTGACATCACTGTTCCTAAGTGTTCTTCAGTTGCTCTGTGTAAGGTCTGACTAATGTTTGAGTGGGTTCAACTAGCCTAGCTCAGATTGCTGTCAGATACAATGTTTGACAAAGGCACTGCTAATATTTACAATGAGAGAGCTACACAGCATGTTCTGAAATCTGGAGAAAATAATTGATTCTGAGAATATTCCTAACTTAAGGATAAACTACTTGGAAACATTATTTAATCAAAACTAACATACTGAAAATCCTCTGAGTCAGATGGAATCCATGAAGAGTGGTATATTCCTATGAAGGTGTCAATTTTAAGATCAGGTCTATAATTTCTAAAAAAAAAATAATATTCTAATCAATGTTTTTAAAGGACATCATTTGCTTGTCATGCCAGATGCTGTATAGTGATTAAAAGAAGGAAAGCCATAAGCAATGTGTTTTTGTGTACAGGCAAAACAGAAACATATATTTGAAAGGAAATGTTATAAATATGGGGTCAGATAGAGTGATCATTTTCGCAAATTTCTAGAATGTGTTCATAGATTTAGAGAACCAATTTGTTGTCCCTAAGACACACTAAGATCTGTATGTACCCTTCCCTAAGAGAGAAAGCATATTAAGGTAAAAATACTTTGTTATGAAAGCTCATTTATTGAGAAAGCATGCTTGTTTGCTTATGGCCCTCAGAAAATGGGAGGGGGTCTTGGCTCTGCAGGGTCCCGAATGCAATAATAGAAACTGATTGGATAGCATCATGAATCTATGATTTCATTCTGAGGTAAGCAGTAAACATATGAGAATATCTGCTTCCTCGACTTGAGAGCAGGACATTAGCTTTGTTGGGCCTGCAGATACCAACGATGATGGAAGGAGACTCGCCTTGGGGCAGTGAACACATAACAGTGCAGACGATGTGTGTGAAATTGTGCTCTTGAAACCTGTATAATTTTGTTAACCAGTATCACCCCAAAAGATTTAGTAAAAAATGGGGTAAAAGAGTTTGCAAACTTTCTGCATCCATTCCCAGTCACCAAGCAATGCTGGGGCCAGAGTCATTAGCTCTTTGCACCTTCTGAATTGCCAGAATCAAACCAGAGCTCTGGAGGCAGTGAGTCATGAATTTGTATTTCAGAAGGAAGAAAGAGTGTATGCAATCTCTGACAAGTCTCTAATGCAATTTAAAACATAAGTAAACTTTCTCAGTCTCAGATAAGAAGTGAGGCTTCATGTTGCTATCTTCCAATGTTTATCGAAGTGACAATTATTATATTGTTATAGATTTATACATTTTTTAAAAAATGCTTTCATGTTCCTTTTTAGAATGTTCTCACACACACAGTTCAAGAATGCTGACTGGGAAAGTATTTTTATTGTTATTTTGCATATAAGACCCAAGGTCTTGGGGCTAATGGGGCCAACTTGTGTGAAATCTAAGATTAGTTCCCATCTCTTCATATTGTGCCATTCATAACAATGCTTAGGACAATGTCTCAGGATGAGACCACAGTAAGCAAAATAATAAATTTCTTTAAACATAAACATTTTAAAATTAAGCAGAAGAACTTAAGTTTATATTTTAGAAAGAACCTTGACTTTAATTGTGACATGATACTTGAATACATCATGGGTGTATGTACAGAAAATGGCAGTCAGTTGACAAAAATACATAAATAAATACACAAAATGATAATATTGTAAACACTAGATTTGATTTTAAAGATCAATTAATTCATTTTATAACCACTGCCATTCAACAGTGGCTTTCGAAAATCAAGGTTACTATACTCTTAGCTACTAGCTGACAAATATTTGTTAACCGTTAGTTTTAATGGGGAACGTTTAGGATTCTTTGGAATGTGATGCCAGTTCAAATATTTATTGACTCTGTATTGTTCTACTCGTATTTTCAAGACACACTGAGATACAAGCCCTTCCAAGTTATCTCTGCACATCTGTCTCCTCTCAGTAAATATTAAATTTCTCACAAATATTTACCCACCAGCCACTGTGCGAACACATTGGAAAGTATTTTCCCCACTACTATTATTATTACTTAAGAGTCAACCGCAGCCATTTTCATGTTTTACCTTCTAAAGCACTACTGCCCAATAGAACTGTCTGTGGTGATGGAGACGGTCTCTGCTGCACACTTGAGTAGCCAGTAGCCAAAAATGTAGCTACTTAAAACCTGAAATATGGCTAGTGAGATGAAGGGCATTAA